CGGCTGGGAAGGGGGTGGGCTGCAGAACCTGGATAATCCCATGATGCACGGGAGCAGGGCGCCCCACGCCCACCCACGGGTAAGGCTGGGGGCTGCACGCTCTGGGTCTGACCCCAAGGGAAGGGAGATCGGGGCAATGCAAAGACTGATGCCACATGCACCCCCTCCAAATGCTGGGGAGCCCTTCAGCCGCGGAGGGAAGCAGAAGCTGCAGCTGACACAGGACAGGAAGGGATTTTATTGCAAAGCAAAACCTGATTTCACTCACACACACCAACACGCTCATGCCCACATGCTCCCAAGCACCAAGACCCTTGAGTCCAGCTGGCTTGGCCAGGATTTCCCGCAGTGCCTGGTAGGACTGGGGGCACCAGCTGTCTGGTCTTCACCATGACCTCCAGCTACATGCCCAATCTTGGCCCATTGCCTTTGTGCTAGGCATGGCTCAAAGGCAAAAAACAAGCCAAGCAGGATAAAATACAAAAGGAGATGGGGCGAATGCATTTGCATTAGAAGGAAACAAGAAAAAGCACAAAAGGATGCTGGTAAGCAGCCTTCTGCTGTTTTCCATAGCTGTCTGGTGCCTAAATACCAGTGCAACACTGTGGATGCAGCGGAGAAGGCTGTAATTTGGATGCCATCTGTAACAAACCAGTGTGTAAAACATCACCTGCTAAAATTGACATTTTCAATTCATCAGGCCCACACTGAGAGTATTAATGGACCTAACTGAGGGTCTTATTGAGCCACTGATGGTAATTTTTAACAGAGCTAGAAAAACTAGGATAATTCCAAAGGACTGAAGGAGAGAAATCACTCCAATCATTAAGAAAATAAATGGGTTGACCCAGAAAACTCTAGATTACTGATAATACCAGGAAAAAATAACAGAAGAATTAATTTTGATTACGTCAGCAGAGAATTAAAGACTGAAAAATGCATTTAGTACTGATCAGCCTTGTCTCAGGGAAGGCAGGTATTGCTATGCAAACTTGTCACCTTTCAGCACGATTACACGTCTGGCTGATTCAGATCAACACCGCTGGCGTGACATCCTTACTTGGAAGCTGGCAGGAGATAATGATAACAGCATTCACATAAATCACGATACTGCCACAAAGAGGGATGGAATAATCTGATTTCCATGTTCATGGAAGAAGGAGGCTCATAGCTGCTGCCCAAGATCTTTCCAGATCTACTTTTTGTGTTGTCCCAGAATATTTATCTCGGTACGCCAAGCCAGCCTGTTTATATTCCTGCATTGCTAAGGACACATCAGATGCATCAACAGCAAAGGTGTGCCTTTTAGCCAGGAGATACACTGCCCGGGGCGTTTGTAGTGGGGAACCCCAGGGGTGGGTGCAAGGCCCACAGTGATAAGAAATGTTTACTAGGAAAAAGTTGGGGCAACGCTAAGCTTGGTGGGGTAATAGCTAGTGAAGGGGACAATTAACTGTTAGGGATCATTTAGAATTGCCTGATTAAAAGGCCACATTGCAGCAAAATTTGCTTTAATGCAGCAAAATTTGCTTTAATACAGTGAAATGCAAAGTAATTCATTTGGGAATTTGGAGGAAGGGGCAGTCTTGTCACTTATTACTCTGCACATCCACTTGCCACCCTCAAACTTTATCAGCGGTAATCTGGGATTCATTTCAAGACCATTGATTAAAGCGCTGAAGCCGGCGGTGCCTGGCAGGGATCCCCGCAGAAGCCTGGCAGGCCTGTGCTGATGGTTCACCATCGCCAGCCAGCACTTGGTTACCCAGCCTGCCTCGCCAGGCACCGCACTGACACTGCCGCTCACTCCCCGGGGCACCCTCCGCACTACAAGCCGGTTACATCTCTGCCTTTCCCCTGGGCAGACTTGTCATCTCAAGAATTGAAACCAGGCTTGTTTGGCGAGGTGGGTTTTCCATGGTTAATTGATGCCTGGTAAGGATGCTGAGGGTCCCCCAACACATGCAGGAGCCCTTGGTACCCGGCTCTTGTGAGGTTCTGCATCCTCCTGCCTGGGAGGTGGTAAAGCCCTCCTGGCTGTGTCAGGTGCAGGGCTATTAAATGGCAGCGTGAGAGGCACGCCGTCCCAGTGAAGGGCACAACAGCCCCGGTGTGCACAGGGCACCTGGGGGTGGCACGTCCTAATGAGGAGGGCTACATTAGGCATGGGAGCTCAGCAAACCGGGGCTCCTGAGTCCTTACAACGGGGAAATCCTGACGAATAGCTGTTGTTTTACATGCACAGCCCCTCATCATCTGACTTAACTCTGCTAGGAAGCTCTCAGATGTGTGTTTGAGCCAGGCATCCTCAGGATGGCCATCAAAGGCAAGCTCTCAGCCCAGTGACCTGAGGCCACTGGCTCCCAGCGCCCAGGGCTCTGGGAGGAGCAGGGAGGACAGCCCTGGTTTCACATACCGCACTGTCTCCGAGAGCAAACAGCTCCGGGCAGGAGCACCCTGGGAGCCATTGCCCAGCTGGGTTATTAAATGCACCTTTTATCTCGTTAACTGTTTCCCTCTGACATCCACCAGCACTTGGCCAGACGCCAGCACCTCCTTTCCACTTTTAACGACTCTACGGTAATCCCCGAGACTCCGGGCCAGTTTCTCCAGGCCCAGCTCTGCTCTCAGCGTGCCCTCGGGCCGTCAAGCTGTTTGCATTACATGCAACCCACTTCCACGTACAAAAAAACCCCCTTGCCCACATCTGTCCAGCCATCAGAGGCTCAACTGCTCCCCAAAGACCGGGGCAGAGAAAAGCTGTTGGCAAGATGCTCCTACACCAGGAATTGTTTGCTTTCCCAGGGGATGTTGGACTTGCCCACCTGGTGGTGGTTTATCTACCTCAAAGGAGCGGGTGCATCTGCAGAGCTGCCCAGCGTGAATCTGCCGTGTCCCCTCTGCTGCCCAGAGGCTGGGGGCTCAGCCGCAGTCCGGCAGACGAGGCGTGCGCTCCTGGGAGTGGGGAAGTGATCGCTTCTTGCCCCATCGCTGCCAGCTCACACAAGCACACTCTGTGGCATTGCAACAGAGCTGACCACAGCTTTGTTGCAATTCCTGAGAACTTGTAAGACAGGAAGGCCTAAAGGGCCAGGGACGGAGACTGACTCATCAGCGTGCCTACGGTCCTGCCTGGAGCTTGCAGAACCCCTCCAGCCTGACGGGGTAACCTGTGCCTCTCCAGGAGCTCTACCATCACCTGGCCATGCAGAATTCATTGCATTTCTGTTTCCAGCTATTCCTACGCTTCTTGTGCCACCACCAGCTCCAAGAGCTGCTGGAAGAGAGGAAAAGCAGTGCTGGCTCCTCCATGCAGACCCCCAGAGCTGCACGCTAGCATCCCCTGCGAGCACAGGGACACCTCAGCAGGTTCAGCCCCTCCATCACCTGCCTGGAGGCAGTTTGTTCAAACCAGGCATGCTCAGAGCCCTGATATGAAGTCACTGCAATTAGCCAGCTGCAGTTTTATTTTGCTCCCGTGGGTGTGTAGCTGCTTTTCCCAGGACGTGAAGAAAGGCGGGTGATACTGGCAGCCAGGGAGGCTGACTCTGAGCCAGGGAGGCTGCTCACCCACGGCTGCTGTGCCTGAAAAAGAGCTAGTTCCAACTCGTCTGCCGGTCCCTTTTAGCCTTGCAGGTTGGGGCTTGGCATGCGTGCGGGGCTGCCTGTGTCTCTGGGAGTGCCTCCCTGCTCTTGCCACTGCCCGGTGATTCAGGGCTTAGGACTGTAGCGAGATCTGGAATTAGCTTTATTGTTCCTGTAACGTGGCACACGCTCCGGGCGATGCAGCAGGCGTTGCACAATTGACTTCATTTTATCTGAACCAGCAATTATGCTGCTGTTGCTCAGCTTCAGCAGAGAGGACTTCTGTCAGATCACTACCGTGCTCTGCATCCCATCAGTAAATGCCACACTTGGGTTATTAAAGGCTTCCACTGATGAAGATCCCTTGACCCTGAGACAATCATGCTTCACTACCCTTACTGCTAGCAAGTCCTAAACTTGCATCTTCTTTCCCTGAGCATGCAGAAGAGTTAATCCCCTCCCTATCTGCATCTGCCTTAAATATATTTTAAGGCCTTCATTGAGTCTCTGCTTCTAGATAGTCCCCATTCTTTCAACCTTTCATTGCAGCACATGGCATCTAGCCTTCCAGTCACCCTTGTTTCTCATCTCTGGATCACCTCCATCTACTCCAGACGAAGGATGAGGTGCTCAGAGGCCCTTTCTGACCTTAACAAGGCATGTATATATTAAGGAATGGCAAAGGGAGCATTTCTTGCCCATCTCCATGCTGTGCTAGAACGTTTCAGGGTGGCAAAGTATGTCCCAAATGCTGTCACGCTAGAACTGCAGCAGCAATCAGGCGTGCATTGCTGGGCCGTCATCAGGAGCAAGCTGTGCTTTAGGGACCCTGCACAAAGGCTCGCTGGGGTACTGCCGGAGCAGTTAGCATCACATGGGACTTGCTTGAACTCACAACAGCAGCAAGATGCAGTCAAGCCCCATGCTTTCAACAGACTGGGTCGTGTCCGCTCCAGCTCCCCAGAGTTGGCATAGGGCCCCAGCAACTCCTGCCCACCCCACCAATCTTCCACAGCAGAGCCCCCAAAGGGGGCTGAGAGAAGGGTCCCCAAAAGGAGGAGAGGGTGCTGGGAGGTGGCATCGCCAGACCCCAAGTTGGTCTGCGGTGCCACTTCTCACCATCAATGTGGATCGACTTCAGCTCCCCGTCCTCCTCCACTTCCACCCGCTCCCGCCCGTTCTCGATAATCCTGCAGACAAACAGACAGACGGATGGACAGTCAAGGGCCAGGCAGCCAGAGCATCGCAGCAGCAAGCTGCAGTTCAACAGACTCATTGGTTTCATCAGCCAACCATTGGTTTCGTCCGCCCTGTGTTAAACGCGGAGCTGCCTTTCTGCTTTGAGAAGGTTGTTGTCGCAACTCACCCTGCAGCAGAGCATCGCTGGTTCTCCGGGCTTACTAGCCCAGCAGCTGGGTGTGCTGCCCGAGTCCTCGGCCAAGCAAGAGGCAGTGCTTGGCCATATGGGGCTCTGGGAGCTGTTGAGCTGAAGGAGCTCCCTCCTGCCTGGTTGCTCCTGGGCGCAGGGTGCTGCTGTATCACTGAACCACGCTGCTAAGAGGATTACGGGCAGAGCAACTGTGCGAGGATGGAGTGAGGAGTAAGCAGGGCAGGCACGGACGCAAGCACTTTGGGAAGCTCCTGGCTGAGGTTAGAGACGCCGACAGGAGCCCTGTTCCTGAAGTACCCCTCATCATCTGGTGCTTGCCTTGTGCCCCTCCAAGCCAGGCTTAAAGTGGGGGGCACTGGGCTTCTTCCCTGAACCCACAGTACAGCTGTGGTCTCTTCTACCTTGGGGGTAGAGCTGTGTCCCTGAAGTGTCCTGTGACAGTGTTTGCTCTGCCTGGAACAGCCTGGGTGGGGCTGAGGTCTGAACAGTGGGAACAATATTATGGGCTTTCTGCAGTGAAGGGGCAGGGGGGACTGGGGTGTGAACGGGGTGTACCAGGCTGGACTCTGAACAAGTCATCTCCTCCCCAGTTTCAGCTCTGGATGCTTTTAGGTGTGACAGACTTTAACTTATTTCTGGAAGACAGCTGTCTGAGAAGGCTTTGTTTGGGTAACTGCAAGCTCTGCCGACAGCGGTTCCTGTACCAGCAGCAACACCTCTCCTCTGGTGAGAAATGTATCGGACACTAAAAAACCCCCCAACTTTCATAATAACTTGTAATGAAGAGCTTTTTAGTGCAAGTGTCTGCCCTTGATGGAGGCATTGCACATCTGCAATACATTGTGCTGCCTCCCCCTCCTCACATAAGGGTGTCTGAGAGCTGGCTGATCTCCTGGGCTCCATGGGCAGCAGCAAGCAGGGGTCTCCCCTGCGGTGTGCAGGGCTCCGCTCCTGGGGTATCTTCGATCTGTTTTTCCGACTCTTCCATCAAGAGATGGTTGAATTCTGACTCACTAGCCTAAAATTTGCCTTGCTTGCTTTTTGTACCTCTCTGTGTGCTGGTGCGGGGTCCAACTTTGTTCTGAGCAATGGTGAAAATGTCTCCCGAGCAATGCTTGCAACCTAGTGATTTCTGATGTGGTCTGAAAACGTTTGCAGGGTCTTCTTAGACATGTGGGTAACATCTCTGAGAGAGGGGTCGCCTCAGGATGAATCTTCTTCCAGCCAGGGCGAGCTCAGCCTCCGCCGTGTGCTTGCAGGCTGCTGCTACCGGCATCTGGCAGGCTGCTGAGCAGTTAGGCACTGACAAGACACAGCCCATTGGTGCTCCCTGGATTTAGCCAGATGTTCTTAAGCATTTCAAAAAAGCTTAGACATCTGTTTGGGCTTTTCAGATCAGAGGTACGTGGAGATGTGTAGCTCAGAATGACTCACAGCTCTCTTGTCAGTCATTGCTGCCCTGCTCGTTCAACATAACAGCATCTGAATGGTTATTTTCACTGTGAGCATGCATTTGCAGCAATGATGAATCGGGGACATTTCACCCTCAGCTCTCTACCAGAATGGTGTATAAACAGATCCAGGCATCTCTTGGAGAAGTATCACATCATTTCACACCCCGAGGTGCCACCAGATTGTCATACAAAATCTTCCGAAGTTGGGTGAACCACGCAAGCCTTGCGCAGCCGCCTGAAATACTGCTCGCTGCCTAGCTCCGATGCTTGTGCTTCCAACCACTGCTACAAAGCGTTCATGCTACAAACACCCCAGAATTAATCGGCGCCGTGCAAGGAAGGAGGGTGCTAGGAGACACCCAGTCAGAAGTGTGGCATCCAGCATGCATTTCAGCGAGCACTCTGGCAAAGATTTTCACGCGGAAAGATGATCCCATCGCTCCTTTTCACACCAATTAACTTCTGGGGCTCAAATTTTGATGCCTCAGTGCTACCAATTGCTCTCTCACTCTCACGGACTGTCTGCATCAGCATGGTCTGTGTTATCTAGTGATCTCTGAGGTCACTCAACGGACATTTATACCACGGGGAGGAGTTTAGGCGTTTCCAGAGTTATCTAGTCGCCACAGCATCCTGTCCAGATTCAGCAGCACTCACAACCTGGGGCATCTCTGTGGAAAAAAACATTTTCCCACCAGTTTGATTAAACCCACTCTGATTGCTTGGCTCAGCCATTTCTACAAGTCTCAAAATGTGTTGCTTAGACACTGGCACAGGCTTCACAGCAGTACTGCTGCTTTCAGTCACTTTACACTTCTTCATCAGTGAAGGTGACACTTTCCAGGTGACTCAGGCACAAAGAAAGGCCATTGTGGGTGAATAATTTAGGTCCAGCTTTCAACTTTCGGAGCGAGCTGAGAGATGACAGCACCTTTCAGTGGAAACTCATTAAGTCAGAGGGCTTGGGCAGAGGCAGGGCTGGTTCTGCATGGCGATGGATGCTGCGAGTGTTTTGGAGGGGGGTGGAAAGGATGGACACGTTATTCATTGTAGCAAAGCCAGACGTCAGTGGAGTCACCGCAAAGAGACTCCAATAAACCCCCTTCGAGGTGCTCCAAGCTCTCCCCATCCCCTCACCAGGCATTTCATAAAGCTTTGTGAAATCGGATCAAAACCACAGAGGTAAAGCAGAGCCAGGCTGGAGAAGGAGGAGCCCATCTGCAGGCAGGGCTTTCAGACACAGCCTTGGGGCACAACTGTCCTAGAGGGGCTTGCGGCAAAGGACAGGACAGAGTTTTCCTGCTTCCTCGCTGATCTCCAAAGAGGCCAGGAAAGCCTGTGCTTGTCTCTGAAGTGTTTCCTCTGCCCGTGTTTTCTCCAGAAATTCTCCCGGGTGTTCCTCAGGGGCCTTGGATGGCTGGCAGTGACCCAGCTCCATGCTCGCCCGGGGATCACGTCAGCGCGTCCACCCCCCAGGAGGGGAGGCCTGAGCCAGGCTCTCTGCTGACTTCCCTTCCTCAGCTCCGTAAGTCTGTCCCGGTTAATGCCTGGATGGTGCCTCGCACCGGCAGGACGCCCAGCAAGAAGGTGCCATCTCTGCCCCTCAGCGGAAGCCCCTCTGCCAAGACCGGCAAGCGTAGCAAGACCAACCTTTATGCCCCCCTGCCCTTCCCTCGAGAGGACCCCCGGGTCTCCCGTGGCCCCTGAGAGGCAGGGAGCGGGGGGGCCCGGGGGATGCTGCTCCTCGGCGGC